GAAAGATAACTCCTTAAGGAAGATTTTGACATAAAATAGAGGTTCAGAATAATTTTCTACGTTTTTCTAGAAATTTTTAAAGTTGGCTGTGAAAACAGATTCTTAAGGCACAATACTCAAAACAAGAAGATTTGTGAGAAAAGAGGTCCACTAAGGGAAAATTTTCATTTCTTTTGTGATGAAAACATGCTAAATAACATATATTAAACTCAGAAAATTTGCTTAAAGGTGTGCCTTTGGAAAGTTTGAGAGATTGGTATGCAAAAGATAGTTTTGTACCGAAATGAGGGAAACTACAAGCGAGGTAGTATCATGGCTCAACTCTTATCATTTTTAACACAAGGAAATCATTAATAACACATCTGAAAACAATGTTTAGAACAATTAAGAACATGTATTTGAAAAAGGAAAATGAAAGAGAGGGTTATGTTGTGGCTTACTTGCTAGGCTTGAATAAGATTGCTCTCCTCTTCCTTCCTCTCCCTCTTAAGACTTCTCTCTTGCTCTCCTTTCTCTTCTCTAGGCCGAATGTATGTGGGTGTGTGTTGTTTGTGTATGCCATGCTAAGGGGGTAGTTGTATTTATAGGCAAGCGGCCTTAGGCCTAATCATATAGCACATGCCATATAATATTAATGAAATTTCTCATTTCAATCAAATCGCAATATCGGCACCAATTACCATTCATGGTTCGAGGTACATAATAAAGAATATATATATGTATGATATTATTATTCACAGTGCTTGGTTGGATGATATTCCTTAATGACTCAGTCTGTAGAAACATAACCAAGCATAACATTTCAAAACACATTACCTTCAATTCATTCAATTGATTTATTCGTTACATATGCGTTCAATCGTTCCCCATTTTTTAATTTCTCTCAAGTGTTTACATAATTCCTACAACAATTCCATATGTTTTTCATTGAAAATATCAAGTTTACATATTTAAGTTTTAAGGAAAAAGCAAGAAATGAAAGGAAACTAAGTTAGGGTAGGGAACGACACAAAATGATTAAAAGACAATAAACAGCCTACACTAATTTGAGCATATCTATTTATGTACTTAGAATTTGGATGTGAAGCCACCACCATTAGAAACTAGACTTCCATGGCTTGAATTTAGGCTCAAGAATCACTTAAAATAGAGTTCGGATGAGGGAGATATACTTATTTGAAGTTATCAAGTATAAGTTGAAACATGGTTGGCCGCATGTGCGCCCACTTTAACCGCTTGTGCGGTGACTGGGCCGCTTGGTGGTTTAAGCAGAATGAAATTTCTTGTTTTTGTTCATATTTCACTCATGCGGAGCCCATGGCCAATCGTGTGGTCTGGGCAAAATAAGACAGTCCGAAAATTCATCAAAGATTGAGTTTTTAAACCCAATTTCAAATCAATATCTTATGTAATCTTCCTTTAAAACATGAAATACTAACCTTATATAAGTGTAATCACAACTCAAACACATCAATCTTGCTTAGAGTTCAAAATCAAAGTCTCATCTTTTCATAAATTCAAAATTTCGTAACATACAAGTTCAAAATATATATATCCATGAATAATCTTCCAACAAATCTTGTTTTCATGAATCACCTAGGGTTTGTTTCATGGGTCAATCACAAGAATGAACTTAAATCAAACAAAGATGGAGAGATTAGGGTTCAATTTCATGCCTTTAGCTCAAGCCACCATACAACTTAAAACCCTAACTCAAATTCCTAATTTCTTATTGATTTCATGACAAAGACGAATTAGAGACAAAGACTATAAGTAAATTAACATATCTTAACTCAAATCTAAGATTTGCCTCTTGATTCTTTTGCAATCCCTAGCTCTTCCTCTTCTTCTCTCTCTAACTCACTCTCTAGAGTTCTCAATAAAAATGAAGAATACAAGTGGACCAACACATATATGACTTAACCCTTAAATTTCCAATTTAATCATTATAAATCATAATTTTTCAAAATTTCACCGTAAGCTCTATAAATCATGCTAATCACAGATATGAAGTTGGTTTTTGTTTATTGCGCCTCTAAAGCTTTTAATTTCAGTTCAAAGTTGAAATTGTAACAGATATTCCTACGTTCAACAGATATTATTCCAAATTCACATAATTCACATATTCAAACTTACAAATTCATATCAAACATATAATTACATGTATAATTAAACAGAGTACGAGTTCAATTATCACAAGAACTCTATATATATAATATTTCGCTTTGTTATAAAAAAAATAAAATAATTTAAGATCACATTTGGTAAATCATGCTTTCACTTTTGGAACGTAGATGCCATGGACATATGTTTGCCTTCACTTCACATAGCCATTGTTTGGGAAGTGAGTTTGGGGCTAAAATAGTCACAAAAAATAAAATAGACTTTTTAGCTCCAATAAGACAAAACATTACATCCAATTCATAATTATTACATTCTTTCTCTCACAAAAAAGTTAAAAAAGCCAAAAAAGTCAGAAGCCCTTCTCAAACTAGATTTTTTAGCCCCAAGTTAAAATAACCAAAAAAGCAAAAAAAATTAAAAAGCCAACCCACTTCCCAAACCAAGCCGTAATCAGTGTGTTTGGTTTGAGTTTTCTGAATTAAGTTTTTTAAAAATTGAGTTTTTTTGGTTTTTGTATTTTTTTTGTTTTTAGTGATTTTTTTTTTAAATTTTAAACATTTTTTTTTACTTTTTTAGATGCATCAGTTAGATGTATCTAAAAAATAAAAAATTTGTGAAAAGATATTTAAAAAAATTAATAAATACATAAAAATACAAAAAAAAAGTATTGAATTCTTGTATTTTTTTTGTATTTTTGGTATTTAGTGAATTTTTAAAAAAAATTTTTTATAAATTTTTTACTTTTTAAGTGTATTTATGTTAGGTGTGTCTAAAAAGTAAAAAAATTACTTAAAATATTAAAAAAATTCAGTAAAAACGAAAAAACATAAAAAATAAGAAAATAGAATTTTCTAAAAGTATTTTTTGAAAAATAAAAACAAACAAGCTGAATGATTTCATGAAGTAATGCCATTTTTTAACTCCAATTGATATAATGAACGTCCTTATGTTTTAAAAAGCCCTTATGAACAAAGGCTTGAATTATATGAACATAAAAAATTATAATTTCATGGATTAATAAAACAAAAAAACATAAAAAATAAGAAAATAGAATTTTCTGAAAGTATTTTTTGAAAAATAAAAACAAACAAGCTGAATGATTTCATGAAGTAATGCCATTTTTTAACTCCAATTGATATAATGAACGTCCTTATGTTTTAAAAAGCCCTTATGAACAAAGGCTTGAATTATATGAACATAAAAAATTATAATTTCATGGATTAATGATAAAATGTACTATTGTATTTAGTCTCTAAATATAAGTTTGTATGTTTTTTCTTAAAAAAACCATATGAATAAAAGTAAAAAGACAATTACGAGTTTAACTTCTGCAATGAAAAATTTATCTTCTCGTATGAAAGTTGTATGTAATTGTTTATTTATTTTTAAATTTGAGTTAATAATGGTTATTAGGCTTATAATAAAGGCGTATATTGGAGGGTATTGTTGGGCTCGTGAGGGGCCCACCACATGTTTCGTTTCAATAATTTAAATTGTTCAATATGTAAAATTCGTCGAGTACTATTTGTCTGTAAAAAATCACGTTGATCGGATATCGATAGCTATCTCATCATTTTAGATTTCTGTCAACCGTTTATTTTTTTACTGTCTATTTTTTTTATATATACAAAACTGATTTGAACATATAACTATCAATATCCAATCAACGTAATGTTTTAAAAACATAAAGTACTCAACGAGTTATACACATTAAACGATTCAGATTATTAAAACGGAACCCGTGATAAATCTCTACGAGTCCAATAATATCCTCCAATCTACTCACGGACAGTGGGGGAAGCCGGTCCTTATAGTCACTATTATGAATTTCAGCTATTTATAAGATTTTAATTATATAATTTAATATAATATTTTTAATATTTATGATTATTTTCCTGGGGTGGGGATTAAAAGAAGAAAAAAAAGAAAAAAGAAAAGCACATTGGCATGTGATTTGAGGATAGAGTGCTCAAGACACCACCGTCCGTCCCTCACAAAACCAGCCGACACTACTTTTTTCGGCCAATCATGACATGACCCTTTTATAAAATTGGAACGTTGGAAACAATGGCCCACCACCACAAATCAACCACCAAGACAAAGAAGGCCCCAAAAATCTCGCTCACGGATCCACCATCATCTTTCTCAATATGGCCTACCCACACCACACCACACCACACCACATCACACCACACCCGCTACCCAGCCAACCCTAATCTCTCTCTCAACTTTCTAATCTAAATTCATGAATTTTGATCCAAATTCATGAATTTTGATCCATCAACATGTAGCTCAAACTTGATATGACAAGCTAGATAATTTTATAGTTGACAAAAAAAAAGTTAGATATTTATAAAATTTTGTAATTAAAAATATTTTTATTAGTTCACTATAAAATTTTTAATATAATAATGTTTGATAATTCGAATTTTCATGATCTGAATGGCTCGAATGTTTTAAAAAAATATCGTTTTAAGAGTAAAACGACATCGTTTTGATGCATTCGAACCACACAAATTTGACCTACAAAGCATTTTTCTTTTTAATATCATTTGGATTAAATTAATTAAAAATAGGTTAGTATATATCTGTTAAATAAAATAAGAGTAAACAAATGTTAGTATAATTTTAGATTTTAAAAAATATCTGCCAAAATAACAAAAGAAAAACCTTATGTATATTGTGTACTAAAATAGTGCATGCAATTTAAAATATCTTATGATAAATATCTGTAATAATTACATGCTCCAATGATATTTCTCCTCTGTGTAATTAGCATTTATTCTTGGTTGATTATTTTGATATATGTTGTTTTCATAGGAAGGGGACAAGTGAAGTTCCAGAACAACATTCACAAGTTCACAACATAACACAACAGTCGAAAAATGGAATAGAAACAAAAATAAATGAAACGTTCATTTTTCTCGTCCCATTCTTATTTTGGTTTTTTTACTATTAAACAAAACGTTCATATGCGCAACACCCAAGAAAAAGTAGCAGCAGATTCTCTCTTCCTCCCCAGCCCATTAATGCTCTGCTTTTTCCCTACTCTCTCCTTCCCTCTTTCTCTCTGTGTGCGCGAAGAAAAGGCTTCTTTTTTCTCTCACCAGCGAATGGAAAGACCCTCCAAAATTGCCCCATTTTGCTTGTTTTAGGCTTTCAGCTATGGAGGTTTAATGGGGTTATTCTTGCAGTTCCTCTTCCCAGATATGCGTAGCTAAGCGCTAGAGGGTCTCTCCTGTTGTGGGTCTCCTTCACTCTTCTACACTTTTTTTTTCTTTTGGGTAGCTGAAGAAGAAGAAGTAGAAGAAGCTTGAGCTTGAAAAATGGAGAAAATGGGTCGGTCTAGTTGTTGAAATTTGTTTATAGTTAACTCTTTCTTTGGGTTGTGTTGGTTTTTCTTCTTTGGGGGTTTTGATTTTGGCTTGATTTGTGGTGTTCCCAAATGGAGAGCATTCATGGGTTGCAATTAATGGTAGTGCTTTGCTTGGGGATTTTTATGGTGTCCACTTGGTGTCAGCACAATGGGGATGCCATTACTGCTGTATATATTGTCACTTTGAAACAAGCCCCTACTTCTCATTACTACGGTGAACAACTGAGAGTGAAAAGTGGAAATGGTCTTAAACATGATGGTGCTTCTGGGTCAACAACCAGACTGGACACGCCAAGGTACTATTTTCTTTGTTTTCATATTTCCAATTTGGATTGAGCCATAATACTTGTCATGTACTCACCAAAATGTAACTTTTTTTTGTTTGTTTGTTTTTTTGTTCTTGTTTTTATTTATTTATTAAATTACTATAGATTCCCTCTCTTCCTTTTAGTGGGCTTTCTGTTGAATTTGTCCGTTTCTGATAATAATTTTGAGACTTTGGTTCAATGAATATATATAGTTGTTGCTTTATTTTGCATTGATGTTTTCTCCATGGCTTTATTTTGCATGGCTATTACTGGTAAAAATAAAAAAATAAAAATACCCAGAGAAAAAAAAAAAAAAACACTATTAACAGGAGTGGTATAGTGAGAATGTCTAATGCTTAAGTTTATTTATTTATTTATGATTCTCCAGTTCACAGAACAGCAATGATTAATATTTGTATTAGGGCTTTTTCCTGTTTCCTGCATTCCCTTTTCTTTCTCTTTGTTGTTAATCTTTAATCACTATTTGGATAATCTGCAAAATTAAGTAAACTTGTGAATGTAATCATGATTCATTGTTTATATATTTTATTAATGCAGAAATAATTCAAGAGGAAATGGGCATAAGAGCTCTTATATTGACCGGGTTCATGATTCATTGTTGAGGAGTGTTTTGAGAGGGGAGAGATATCTTAAGCTGTATAGCTACCACTACTTGATCAATGGATTTGCTGTGCTTGTTACCCCCCAGCAGGTATGGTATGCTGTTGAGATGATGAGGTTCTCCATCAAAGAATATATTGTATTTTGTAATTTATTATATTGTTCTTTCTTAGTTATCAATCTTGCAATTTTGCTAAATCTGAAGGCCGAGAAACTTTCAAGGAGGAGAGAAGTTGCAAATGTGGTTTTGGATTTCACAGTTAGAACTGCAACCACCCACACACCACAGTTCTTGGGTCTACCTCAAGGTGCGTGGGCCCAAGAAGGTGGATATGAGCTTGCTGGAGAGGGTGTGGTGATTGGGTTCATTGATACTGGAATTGATCCAACACACCCAAGCTTCTCTGATGACTTGTCTGAAAGTCCATATCCAGTTCCAGAGCACTTTTCAGGCATTTGTGAAGTCACTCGGGATTTCCCATCTGGCTCCTGCAACAGAAAGCTTATTGGAGCCCGCCATTTTGCAGCCTCTGCTATAACCAGAGGAATATTTAATGCCAGTCAGGACTATGCTTCGCCAATTGATGGAGACGGCCATGGGACGTGAGTATTTTTGTGTAGTTGGTTATAATTTTTGGAAAATTGGTTGTGCTGTTTTTGCCTTTAAAGTCCATCTTCTATGCTGAAACTTTTTAAGTTTGTTGATGTCGCATTTTCCCCTCTAGGTGTGCTCAACAATTCTGTTGTAGATCTTGCTTGTGCATTACCCTATAAAAGAAAATTCAGTGAACTTGTTTCAAATCTGATGCTTTTTTCAAAACATAATTTTTAGGGTCTACAAGCACCTAAAAGGGAAAAAAAAACTTGGAAAAAAAGTTCACATAAAGCCAAAAAAAAAAAAAAAAAAAAAAAAAAAAAAAAAAAAAAAAAAAAAAGGGTTTTAAAAAAAAAAAAAACACCAAAAGAGCCAAGGCCAAACACCAAAGATCTGAGGATTGGATAGAAACCTCAATATTTATAAGGGCCTTCACTGAAGTTTAATCTGCTAGAATTATTTGATATTTTCCTTTGTCACTGTACAATATGGCTGCATGACAATAATATATTTTAAATGTTTTTAATCCCCCTTTCCTTTCATATTGGAAGCTGACATGTATCCACACAGCTTTAATACGCCACATTTCATCCTTCTCCTCTTTCCTTGTTATGTCAATGTTGATTGTGATGTGTAAAGGTGACTCCTGTGTCGAATCAAGTTCATATGTGAATGAAGTAATTCAATTTTTTATTGCACCCAAGTCTGTTATATTAACTTTTTCTATAACATTATTCTTTTTAGTTATAAGAGAGACAAAAATGATTTAAATGAGCTTATTTTTGTTATGTGAGAAGACCAACTAGCTTCTCATGTAACCTAAATATTTTGAATTGTAGACCAAATGCACCATTTCCATATGATTGATATGATCTCTTAATGTATTTTGTTCCCTTCAAATCTACATGAGCTGATGGTTCATTTTTATTTTTTATTATTTTTCCCAAATACAGCCACACAGCTTCAATTGCAGCAGGGAACCATGGGATTCCAGTCGTAGTAGCTGGGCATCACTTTGGGAATGCAAGTGGAATGGCTCCTCGTTCGCAGTAATTGATCCAAACATTTGATTTTATTTTTTGTATTTATTCTTTAGCTGCCAACCTTTGTCTCTTCAATTCAATGAAGGGCTTCCCTTGACCTTGCAATCTTAGAAATGCATACATTGCCGTGCTTAGTCTAAGTGCTTATTCTAGAGCAATGACTTTTTGAGTGGAATAGAGTACATGAATTATGCTGCCGCCATGTAGGATTCATTCTACAGTTGAACTGCTACATTTGACACAAAATTTGAGATTAGAGGTTATGACTAGGACCATGATGTGAGAAGCTCTTTCCTGAGGATTTAATCCTGTTTCTTGGCAAAACAATATCCTTGCTTAGTATTATGGGAATATGTCGAACCCTTTGGCAAGCGTTTTTGAATCTTTTGGGAGACACTATAGAAATGCCATTGTTAATGGAAAACTTTTCTGAAGCGTCTATGTAACACCCCACTACTTGCTGGCCCAAGTAACCTGTGGGTCGACCAACAATAAACAAAAGTTTAAGTCTAAGTTACTTAGTAGCAAGGTAGTGGTGCTTTATATACTCAAGATCACCTATGCAAACTTCTGATGTGGTACAGGGTGTTACAAACTTCTCCATTTGTAAATCCTCGCGTCCTTGCGAGGGTCTATAATCAATCAGAATACCACGACAAGCTCGTGGCCAACCCAGAATAAGTGGCCTACATGGTTGCGTGCATGGGTCGGTTCTGATACTATTTGTAACGCGCCTCACTACTTGCTGGCCCAAGTAACCTGTGGGTCGACCAACAATACCTAAAAGTTTAAGTTCAAGTTACTTATTAGTAAGGTAATGGTACTTTATATGCCCAAGATCACCTATGTAAACTTTCGATGTGGAATAGGGTGTTATAGTTTGTTAAGTGGAGGGTTAAGTTTAATTCATTAGAAAAATGTCTATCCATCTTGACTATTAACTCGTGACCAAAGCTGTCCTTTTGCGCCACTAATGCAGCATATGAGTGGATTTTCACAGAAAGTAGACTCTGTTGCCAGATTGATAGCGGCCCTATATATATATATATATTTGATCAACAACAAAAGTAAAATTGTATTAGAGGAAGTGCCAAGGTGGCACAAGAAAGAAAATATCAAATATGTTGTTGTCACACCCCAAACCAAGGTATGACCGGCCAAGGCACACGTAAGCTTAAGCACGAATCCATAATCACATTGAACAACTAAACAAAAGTCCAATAATAAATAACCAAACTCAATCTAGTGACATGCCACAAGTATAAATGGCAAAACCAACCGTAATCAATACCATCCAAACTTATGGGATATAAATAGTCCACATATCAAAATAATCCTAAATGAACCTCAATAAAAATAAAAATAAAAATAAATATGCACAAACTTGACGTAACAATCTAAAACAAAATAAATGAATGATCCTAGAGGTCCATGCAATTGAGTCCCGCTACACCATGAGTCCACTCTAAGTCCTTCTAACACCTGGAAATGATAAACAACTAAGTCAGCTGATAGCTCAATGAGTAACAACATGGATAGTATATATAGTTTTGAAAACAGGGATCAATTCCAAAATAAGATATATATCACAGAAACTAGATTGACATACAGTTTGGCAAAGACAATCTATTTCAAAAAGAAGGTTCGACAGTTCAACAGTTAAAATACTCATGTCTCTTAAGAACATGATAAATGACATTTTACACTTAAAACATATTACAACATGAACACCAATAATTTTCTGGGTATCAAGAAATAACAAGTAACACGCCACATAGAGTCATCCTCAGGGTGGCAACCCGGGCCTTTTCTCTAAGACGATCCGATTGAAGGTCACCTAGCCTAACCTAGGTCTTTTCCTTGCAATTGTTGAGCACTAGAGTCATCACGGCCCAACCTAGAGTCACCACGCACAGTGGAATAATTTCCTTGGACTAAAATATATAGATGGTCCCAATAATCAATACACATCAGTTTCGCAAAACATGGTAGTTTACCATTATAAACATGAGACCAAAACAAATAGTTTTCAGTATGCCAAGTTCACACATGTTTCAGAAATAATTTGATTCCATTGATAATATAATAATTTATCAAAACAGTTTAGTCCTGAAACATAATTTTCCAACAGTTCAGGGTAGGGGAACATTTATAAAAATATGTAGCATGAAACTACTCACCTGAAAACGGAATAATGTAATCCTCGAACAGAGTATAAAAGTCCATCTAGTGCCCTGAATCAAGTATGAAAACTACACGTCACTACTAATTTAAAAATACTAAAGAATAAGAAACTAAGTAACCTCAAACTAAAGCGCACTAATACGGTTCAACCCAACTCACCGTTACTCTTAAATATTACCTAAGCTCATATTCTTCAAGGTCTAAAATCACCCAAGACATGGGTTCACATCGAAACTTAATTAAAAGTAACTTTAAGATAAAACAGAATTTTAAACAAGTTTTTCCAATCTATTTGCTAACTTTGAAAATTACAAAACCCACTCCACGCTGTTTCAAAAATTTCAAAACTCTCCAGATACCAACTAATATATCCTAAGTTTCAATATCCTAAGTTTCAACTCCAAATGGTTTCACTTGATTTGCTTAACAAAATAATTATTTACAATTAATTACACCCAAACAGGTTATTTTCTGCAGCACTTTAAAGAAATTAATGGTTCTCTTAGTATATATGAGCAATCAATGCAAGGCCAAAAATGTAAGAAACTAGACTCGTAACCGGTTCTAATGACACTGACTTGATAATTTTCAGATTTATACCCGAAGAGAACGACACTTCCGAAGTTACTGTTTTATCCCAGTTTTTGGACAGATTTGAACGCACCAGTTAATATAGATTTTGACTCCCAAAAATTATGAGAAAATTCTGATATGCAATTCAATATGTAATTAATTTACTTTAAAAATTTCAGTTCAAAATTCATCCATTTGATATGGTTTTTTAATTTTTAAAGTTTGTGATTCTGTACAGAATTTTTGGACTAAGAATTACACCTATTCTTGATACATGAATTTAACTCCTCAGATTTCTTAACAGTATATATATATACACAAAATGCATACACCTACAACCTCTCCATCAATGAATAAAATATTAATAATAAAAAAAAAAAAAAAAAACACAAAAGCAAAAGGAAGAAGAAAGCTAGAGAACACACCCAAAATTCCTTCATTGTTTGCAACCATTTGTTTCTCTTCTCTTTCTCACAGCTGCTGCTGGGAAATTGTTAGAAGAGCTAGGGTTTTTCTTTTCTTTTCTTTGTTATACATAACATAAAAGACTTTAAATAATTATCCTTTGTTTTATTTTATTTTCTCTCTCCATTAATTTAAATAAAATACAACTATTATTAGATCACATTATACTTTCTAATTTGTCCCCCTTTTTTTATATAATAAATCTTACCTCTAAATTAAAGACTTTCACCAAAAATTTATTTTAGGTTTAAAATTAATTAAAAGACCCTCCAATAATATTTAGTTTGCACTTAAAGATTTATAAGCAAAATATTTGAGGTTTGTAAAATAATTATTATTTAATTATTTATTTGATTTATATATTTGGGTTCTCACAGTTCTCTGCAAGCTCAGTTCTAGATCTTGTTTAAGAATTAAAACACGACATAAAGTAACAAATTTTGTGCTAGTTTTCCATTTTGATTCTTGAAGTTTTTGAAAGTTCTTTGCTACTAATATTTCCACTACATACTTTATAAGGGATGGCCAAAGTTGCATTTTGAAACTTGAATGGAACACACCTCGAGTTATATAGTTCATGTGATTTTTTTTTTTTTTTCATGCCATTAAGCTTGTTTCTTTGTTCCGGGTTATATTCCTGTTATAGTTAGCACTAAATATATGCCAATATTTTGTAGTATTGCTGTTTACAAGGCATTGTACAAGAGCTTTGGAGGCTTTGCTGCAGATGTTGTAGCTGCCATAGACCAGGTACATTTTGCCGCACATTAGATCTTGGGTTTGTGGAGGGAAAGGAAAAGGGTTGATAAATGAGAAGTTAATTTTTTTACACTTTCTCCTTTCCTTTTCTTTTCCCGTACAGAAATCCCTCCACAAATCCATGATCTAAGATTCCAAACACATCAATAGTTACATCAAGGAAGTGGAGAACCTATGTATGGTTTGCTCCAATCAGATCTTATATGTCATAATCTTGCTTCTTGCTTGTGCTCCTCTTGGATCTATGATCTAGTACTGGCTTCATACCTTTCTTTCATTTTCTGTCCCCTGTCCTAGTTGGCCCCTTCTTCTCTCATTCTAGTTCCGGACATCATCACATGGAGTACAGATGCTTTTAACTTTCCCTTGGATGGTATTGGTGCACCTGCATTTATGTTGTTTCCGCTTGATGCTATCTCATTTTGAGTTTTGATACCTATGATGTGAGGTAGTCAGTGTAACCTCTCATTTAGAATGGAATGAAGACCAAATTTTATTTTTATTTGTGAAGACTTTTTTGGAACTGGTGTGGCAATGTGAGATTCACCCGTTTTGTGTTTGATTCCTCGAGTTCTTCAATTGTTGGTTGCTGAAAGGTCTATCCAAGGTTTTGGGAAGTGGTGGGACCTCATTTGCATCCTTTCCATCAACTTCCTCAATTTCCCTCTCTTCCATATCCTCATTATTAGGAAGACCTTCCTTTTGGCGCCTCTTGTTAATACAATTTATACTTACCAAAAAATAAATATTAGAAAGACCTTATTAAATCATTGGTGAACTTTGTATATTTTACAATATTGGAGTTTAAAAAGTGTATGGATAATGGACAGAGGATGCAGGTACAGCATGATACAGACACGCTGGTACTACAATTTTAAAAAAATTAAATCACAAATGGTGACAAAGAAATATATATTTTTTATTCATGTACATAAAAATAATAACATTTTTTTTACGTTACACATATTTTATTATATCAAAATAATCATAAATTAATAATTTTTTCACATTTTTTATGTTGGACAAAAAGTCCTACTATTTATTTTTAAAAGCTCTTATTCCTTGAAAATTTGTAAGTTTAGTCTTTAGATTTTCAAAATTAAAATGCTTAAAGGAGAGATAATAGGGTAAATTCACATTGTTTTGATTTTAATTACTGCCACCCCAAGTTATTCTTTTCAAATTTAGACCGACGCTTATGTGTATATCATGTCAGGCGAATAGACACAGTCCGTTGAATGTTCGAAGTATGTCCAGTTCTAAAAAATTAAAAAAGAACATGTTGAATGCGTTTCTAACACGTGTTGAATGATCTATGTCAAGTGCCATTGTGTTCCCGTTCGGACTTTGCAGTCTATTTCCCTTTTATTTTATTTTTTAGTTTTATTTCATGTTTTAGTTTCTCTTTCCAAACTCAAGTTAGTATCCCTACTTGAGTTTGAGGGGTGTTAAATAGAGTAACTATATATTCTGTTTATCATACTTACCATATTAGCTTCTTACCATATTGTGTTATTACCATATTAGCTTCTCCTTCTCCTATATAAAGGAATCTTGTATTCACTCATTGAAATATACATAGTTACATTCTTTCTCTCAAAAAAAAAAAAAAAAATTCTATGTATTCTAATTTTTATATTCAATAAGGGCATGCCATGGACACAACACAATCACAGTGGTAGAAGTGTCCGTGCTTCTTAATTTGGAATGTTTCCTTTGTAAATATTCCCGCCCCCTATCATGGATAACATACAAAAGAATGGGATCTAATGTTTGAATGCTCACTATTAGAAAGTTATCTTAAAGTTTAGGGTTTCAGTCAAGAGAATTTATTTATTTATTTTTGTATTTTTGATATATTTCACTTTAATTGTCCATTTTTTGCATTTACAGGCAGCTCAGGATGGAGTGGACATAATAAGCTTGTCAATAACCCCCAACAGGCGCCCTCCTGGAATTGCAACTTTCTTTAATCCCATAGACATGGCCTTACTGTCGGCCGTAAAAGCTGGTATTTTTGTTGTACAAGCAGCAGGCAATACTGGGCCATCACCTAAGAGTATCTCTTCCTTCAGTCCATGGATCTTTACCGTTGGTGCTGCCACTCATGACAGGATCTATAGTAATTCTATAGTCCTTGGCAACAATGTCACTATTCCTGGAGTTGGACTTGCATGTAAGACAGTGTTCCATACATTTCGGATTTGCTTCATTTTGTTTCTTGCAAGAATGTACAACAAATTCAGGGTTTTGGATGGAACTCCATATATAGGTTTTAAGCGCACCTTTGGCTACTAGAACCCGCAGTGAGATATGACGTGTAAAATATTTTGACTATTAGATGCTCTACTAATGATTTTTTTGGCATAACTGCCCTTATGTTCGTGCTCCAGTTCTCACTCTCATTCTAAGGTCGGTCTTTCCTAAATGTAATAAAAAAATCAGCGGTGTTTAGGTTTATCTTTTGTATGCATCAGTAGAAGACCAGAATTACCTTGATTGGTATACCTGAATTAAATGGCAATTGTTGATTGTGTGCATACATAGCTATCACTATTGTCATCTAAATACAAATATGTACTTATTTAATAATGCTTTTTGTTGTTGCTCCAGCGGGAACAGATAATGATACAATGTACACTATGGTTTCTGCACATCATGCTTTGAATGACAACACAACAGCTGAAAATGATATGTATGTGGGTGAATGCCAAGATGACAGTAATTTGAATCAGGATGTTGTCCAAGGCAACCTCTTAATCTGTAGCTATTCAATCCGGTTCGTGCTTGGGCTTTCCACCATCAAACAGGCCTTACAAACGGCCAAAAACCTTAGTGCAGTTGGTGTTGTTTTCTACATGGATCCTTTTGTCATTGGATTTCAGCTTAACCCAGTTCCATTGAGATTGCCTGGCATTATAATTCAATCTCCCGATGATTCCAAGGTGTGGTCCATGTGTGTTTTGTTTGTTCATACTTTAGTTTGTAATGCTTTTATAAAACATCTAGTGATTTAAATTGAAGTGAGGTAGAGTTGAAGGACTTGAGATCAGATGTGTGGGCACTTATTTATGTTTCAAAATCTATGTTGCAGATCTTACTTCAATACTACAATTCTTCCTTGAAGAGAGACGGGCTTACAAAGAAAATTGTTAAATTTGGGGCGGTTGCATCAATTTCGGGTGGACTAAAAGCAAACTATAGCTATTCTGCTCCAAAAATCATGTATTATTCTGCTAGGGGACCAGATCCAGAGGACAGTTTTCTTGATGATGCTGACATACTGAAACCAAACCTTGTTGCTCCTGGAAACTCTATATGGGCTGCTTGGAGTTCCCTTGGCACTGACTCGGTTGAGTTCCAAGGTATTGTTTCACAAATGCAAAAATTCATAGGCATGAGAATATGTAAGTTACATATTTCCTTGAGGCTGTGTTTGAATCATGGATTTGGAAAGGGAAAGAAAAAGGCGAGGGAAATGGAGAAAAATTTAGCTTATATTTCATTCACATTTCCCTCATCTTTTCATTTTCCTTTCCAAATCCCTACCCAAATTTATGATCCGAACACAGCCTAAACTTTTTACAATAGTTTAATTGATTATGCTTAACTTCTAGGTGAGGACTTTGCAATGATGTCTGGGACAAGCATGGCTGCTCCTCATGTTGCTGGGCTTGCAGCCCTCATTAAGCAGAAGTTTCCCAATTTTAGCCCTTCAGCCATTGGATCTGCACTTTCCACAACAGCTTCTCTCTATGACAAGAATAGGGGACCCATAATGGCCCAGCGTGCATATACCAACCCAGATTTGAACCAGTCTCCTGCAACGCCATTTGACATGGGTAGTGGTTTTGTGGATGCAACTGCAGCACTGGATCCGGGTCTTATTTTTGATTCAAGTAAGTCACTATGCTTTTTTGCACAGCTATCCTTAATGTGAAAATTCAACACAAAGTGCCAACCTATGAGTTCTCATAGGTGGGATGTAGAAATTTAATGTATAAAGAAAAATGATTGTATTATTGATTCTTGTATTTTTTTTCTGTCTATTACAAATGGTTCCTTATATAGATGTAGGTGTAGTGGATGGTGGTGGTAGGTGAGTGTAGTAGGTGAGTGTGTGGTAGGTGATGGTAAGTGTGTGGTAGGTGATGGTAAATTTTAACAGCCCCCTGCAAACTCAAGGAGGATAGGAACTAATCAACTTGAGTTTGGAGAGAGTTACAAAACAAGAAAATACATAAAAATAAAAGAAGATAGGAGACCCTGTATGGTCGTGTCAGACCATTGGTGAAAACACTGGATGGTGGTGTCATAACGTTGTAGAGGACACTGGATGGCGGTGTCAGACCGGTGTAGAAGACAGTTTATGGGGTCATGTCGGACCGTTGTAGCAGACAATGTTGTGACCTTGCATGTAAGACAGTGTTCCATACATTTCGGATTTGCTTCATTTTGTTTCTTGCAAGAATGTACAACAAATTCAGGGTTTTGGATGGAACTCCATATATAGGTTTTAAGCGCACCTTTGGCTACTAGAACCCGCAGTGAGATATGACGTGTAAAATATTTTGACTATTAGATGCTCTACTAATGATTTTTTTGGCATAACTGCCCTTATGTTCGTGCTCCAGTTCTCACTCTCATTCTAAGGTCGGTCTTTCCTAAATGTAATAAAAAAATCAGCGGTGTTTAGGTTTATCTTTTGTATGCATCAGTAGAAGACCAGAATTACCTTGATTGGTATACCTGAATTAAATGGCAATTGTTGGATGTGTGCATACATAGCTATCACTATTGTCATCTAAATACAAATATGTACTTATTTAATAATGCTTTTTGTTGTTGCTCCAGCGGGAACAGATAATGATACAATGTACACTATGGTTTCTGCACATCATTCTTTGAATGACAACACAACAGCTGAAAATGATATGTATGTTTTATTTTTATTTGTGAAGACTTTTTTGGAACTGGTGTGGCAATGTGAGATTCACCCGTTTTGTGTTTGATTCCTCGAGTTCTTCAATTGTTGGTTGCTGAAAGTCTATCCAAGGTTTTGGGAAGTGGTGGGACCTCATTTGCATCCTTTCCATCAACTTCCTCAATTTCCCTCTCTTCCATATCCTCATTATTAGGAAGACCTTCCTTTTGGCGCCTCTTGTTAATACAATTTATACTTACCAAAAAATAAATATTAGAAAGACCTTATTAAATCATTGGTGAACTTTGTATATTTTACAATATTGGAGTTTAAAAAGTGTATGGATAATGGACAGAGGATGCAGGTACAGCATGATACACTGAAAACAAGGAGCTGAAGCGGAAGGCCACCGTGATGTTCCGATTTGGAGGTCCACCATATGCTGTAGTGGAGGAGCAGGGAGGAGGCAACGTGCTTGGTGGTCTAGGAAACACGGAGGCAACACCGTCAAGGGTAGTCCAGGACGGAGGCAAGAAGAAGGGACCGGCGACAGAGTAGAGAAGAAAAATCCCACTGTTCCAATTTGTGTTGGTTTTGTTTTGTTTTGTTTATTTTTATTTTTATTTTTTTTTATTTTTATTTTTGTTTTTATTTTTTATTTTTTGTGTTGTAAAATGGTGATCGGGATGAGCCCCGACATGAATAAAATAAGTTGGTGTGCAGTTCATCTTCTTCCTCTTTTTTTTTTTGGTTAGCCCACGGTTTTGTGAAATAAATAAATAAATAAATAAATAAAAATAAAATAAAAGAAAGAAAGTGGAGCAACGTGGGGAGGTGCAAAAGGTGATGATAATGTTTTGTGGGCGGTGGAAAAAAGTAAAGTGAGAGAGTGAGAGAGAATTTTATGTGTAAATAAAAGAAGAGTGGTGTTTGGTCATACATGGGGTGATCAAAGAGAATAAAAAAATAGAGGGTGAGGAACATAAGGATATGGGATAAAGACAAGAAAAAGTAAAAATAAATAAAGAAAAGAAAAAGTAGATCGGTTTAGAATCATTACTGAATTCAAAGAGAATAAAAAAAAAACAAAAAGGTTTGTAATTTTATTTTTTATTTTTTTTATTTTATTTTATTTTTTTTGGTGTGTATCCAGAAGTTGCAGATGTACATATGAATTATCTAATGGCTTTTATAATAAAAAATAAAGTTTGGTTTTAAAGTAAGGGAAATATTAAAGTGGGGCTAGTGGAAAAAAAAAAAGAACGAGAGAGAGAGAGTTTTTGTGATAAAATAAAAAAAGAAAGTTGGGTGTCCCCCCGAGAGAGAAGAGGATGTTGGGTTTGTCAATGGAGGTTCTGAGTGAGAGAGAGATGCCGAGAGAACAATTCCATCGGCGCAAAGAAGGGTCTGGCCATCGGAGTCCTTGGCTTGGCCTTCCCAGGAGAGAGAGAGGTTGAGCTCGTAGCCGGGGATGATCTTGCCCTTGCGAACGTTGACATGGGCCTCGCCGTCGATCTTGTCGAGGTTCTTGGTCTTGATGAAGAGGTTAGATTCGCCGTCGAGGAGGGTGTGGTTGGAGAGGAGCTTGGTGAGGAGGGTTCGAGACCATTCGAGGCAATCGGTCTCGGCCCAGTGCCAGTTGTGAACGTTTGCTCCGTCGGGTCTGTCTTCCACGATCCACCTCTTGTCTCCTTCACCGTATTTCGCCATTAGAGAGAGAGAGAGAAAGAGAGAGAGATCCAGCAGCTTTGAGTCACAGCGGCTGGAGGAGGTGGAGCTGGGATAAGATGGTGGTTGCGATCGGAGTTGCAGCAGCGGGAATTCTCTAAGTATTGTACAAACAGAGCTTTCCTTCCAGAAGAAGAAAGCTGGGTTGATCTTTTGGAGAGAGATATCGCTGTGTTGATGAGGATTGATTTCACATAACCATCAACAAAGGTTGTGATGGCAGGTATGTGTAGAAAATAAGTGGAATAGGTTGAGGTCCGGCAGGCGGCTAAGGTGAGGTTGCCGCCCGCCGGGGAAGCGAAAATATGCGAAAATATTAGGTTCTAAACCTGCTCTGATACCATGTAGAAATTTAATGTATAAAGAAAAATGATTGTATTATTGATTCTTGTATTTTTTTTCTGTCTATTACAAATGGTTCCTTATATAGATGTAGGTGTAGTGGATGGTGGTGGTAGGTGAGTGTAGTAGGTGAGTGTGTGGTAGGTGATGGTAAGTGTGTGGTAGGTGATGGTAAATTTTAACATGGGACATGTTCCAAAGATGAATATTATGGTCATCCACTCTTTCATATATACGTATCTAATAATTATAGTATTTATGATTGAGTTTATTAAATTGATCCAGAATCTCAAAGTTGATAGTTGCAGTTCTGGGACATTGGATCTCCAAGGATAAGTAGTAGTATCAATTTAATTTGACAGTTATATGATTTGAAAGAATAATGAGCTTAGGTAGAAGTGAGTAGCAAAAAGGTGGTGTGACCAATCTTACAAGGTTGAATTTAGTCATTTTAGTTGATCAAGTGTGTATCTCCCAATGCCTTGATACAACATGTCAACCTCGTGACACTAGGATCAATAGAATCTCACCATGTGTCAATTCTTCCTCCATGACATTGTCTGCTAGTACTAGCCGAGGGTGACATATGCGGTGCCTTAGCCTGGAGCTGAGTCACTCAGAGTCAATCCCCAAGCAAGCCTTCCTAGATGCACTTGGGACTTCCTCGGACGAGAATACTCTTCACCTGAGGTCGCCCCATCTCCAATCGAGCTGATATGCTCGGACCTCCCTTAGCTTTACTAAGTGTACTTGTCCTATAGTTCTGTGCTTAGGCTTGGTGCTAGATGTGGAGTGTTCATCAAGTTGCTCATCCTATTCTCATTTGAGGGACTTGCACATTGACCTACCTTAGAGAGAGAAGGATCTTCATGATGTTGACACGACTCTAGATCATGACAAAGGCATGTGATATGCTTCGTGCTTCTATGTACCTGAGGAGCATATTTGACCAGCTTTGCAGGCCCTTGTGTCCTCTTTAAGGATTTCAATGCCACTAGTGGGGGTTGTTGCCTTCGGTTTTCTGGTCGAGTAACTAATATTTTTCTCCTCACTTAGACCTAGGCACGTGACTAAGTGAGCTGGCCTTTGTGACTTGACCCTCTAAATAGAGCTTTTGTCTCCATGCATGTAAGAGAGACCTATTGGCTCTGATTCTCCACTCCAAACCTCTATCTATTACTGTTCTCTCTCTAAAAGACTGCCTTTGCACTCATCCTAATGACCTAGCAACCACTACACTTCCCAGAAGGCTCTGTCCACCTTATTCAGTCTCCCCTTCATCTGTAACTATCAGTTGTTTTAGAGGGTGAAAATGTTAGGCAAGGCCGCAAGGGATTTACTCCTTCCATGGCGAGTGGCAAGCATCAAGGCAAATTTAGTTAGCCTTTTGATCCTTTATCTTATATTAAAAGAAGTCCTCTAATCTCCTCTATCATATGTCTCATACATGAAAATCAGTACATGGTAATGTGGACAAGGATCAAAAGAAAAACAACAATTCATTGATTGACACCCACTCCATTGCCATTTTAATTGTTTGTCCTTTATAATGTTGCCATCAGTTCTATTATGCACACACTATATTTATCTCATTCTAACTATGAAAATTTGTATTGCATTTGTAGGTTACGATGACTATATGTCATTCCTTTGTGGCATAAACGGATCAGCTCCCGTGGTTATGAATTACACTGGTCAGAACTGTGGGGTTTCCACCATGAGTGGCGCTGACCTGAACTTGCCTTCAATCACAATAGCGAAATTGAACCAGTCCAGAGTGGTCCAAAGAACGGTAACTAACATTGCCAGCAACGAGACATATAGTGTCGGTTGGAGTGCTCCTTATGGAGTGTCTGTGAGTGTGGATCCGATTCGCTTTTCCATTGTAACAGGGGAAAGATTGGTGTTGAGTGTATACTTGAATGCAACAATTAACAGTGCTGTTACAAGCTATGGAAGAATTGGGCTCTTTGGACATCAAGGTCACATTGTCAACATTCCTTTATCAGTAATTGTTAAATTCTCATACAACACCACTACTAGCTGAGGAACTGCTGATATTTTATTTTATGTTTTTAAAATTTGTCTTCTTTTTTGTTTTCTAGTTGTTTTGTTTTGTTTTGTTTATTTATTTTATGTTTTAATATTGTAATTCTGTTGGGAATATGTATGATTTTTTGATTCGTTGCCATGTACATGCTGAAGCTGCTGTTTGCCATGTAAATAAGAATGAAATGCAAGTGAGACATGTGCCCCCCCGTTGCAAGTGAAAACCTTTACTTCTTGGGGGCATAGTTTTCACTTGAACTCTTTGCAATTAGTTTTTCTATTTTTCATTTCTGTCTGATATTTTCCCAGAACTTAATTAATGCTCCCTGTATAACTGCTGAAAAGGTTTTGTATATGAATAATAGGGTACCGCGTGGCACTACCTTTCACCAATCACAAATATATATCCTCTATCGTTTCCTAAACACTCAGCAGAAACGTAATGGATTTTATTGTTGAATTCAATCACAATAGTAAAATGTATCACATGGCATATATTCTATTTGCATACAAAAATTACTCATAACTGCCAGTCTTTTTTCATGGAAATAGTTTGTGAAGAATTCATTTGCCCAGGGATAGTGTAAGCATAATGTTGAAGAGTTCATTAGTCTTGTTATCCATCCATCCATCACACACACACACTCAAATACTTTCTTTTAAATTTCATTAACTTTAAATAGAAATAGACAAGGGCACAAAATACGGTTACACTTTTCACCCCTCCCATAATTATTGGGCTAGCAATAGGTTTGCCTTTGTTAATTAATGCAGTCATCACTGGACAAGTTTCTGAATGCTTTTGACTTGTTCCAAACTCACAATGTTTACTCGTGTCTGCTAAATAACACGTCAAAAGTTTAGTTATAATGCAGAAGGTTATGATTGCATGTGATTTTAAATTGCTCCCAATAGTAACAAATCTTAATCAAAATTGTATGTGATTTTAACCCCCACTACATTAAGTCTTAATCCGATCACATTAAAACCGTTGCTTAGTCTTTTTAAAAAATATCCTAAAAATGAATCAATATTTTCTGCCATGAACCTATCTGCAATGATTTTTACTGTGATAATCAGAAGAAAATAAAAACGATTCAAGAATGGTTTTGGTTTCAAACTTTCTTGTTATCATCTCCAAAATTTCCATAAACAAAAAACACCAAAACCATAACAAAAAATTGAGAACTAGAAATGGAAAATTAATAATAATGACATTAACAACACCAATGGAAGACCCAACTTTTTTAGCATCATTTCTGGATCAGCTCAGTATAAAACAGTGAAGCAAGTTATAACTGCAGCTTTGTAATTTTATTGATAGTCTTGGTTGCATTTATTTATTTATTTTTCAGTTCTTTTACGAACATAGAATCTGATCCAGTTCTGTGATCAGATATTGTGCACTAATAATTTTTTCATTCTTTTTTGAATACTACCATTAATTACTTGCTGAGTGTCAACTCTATTTTGAACTCTTCCCCAATGAGTAGTGACAGTCCTAAGATCTCCACAATAACAAATGTTCCATTACCAGACAAATGCACTCTTGAGTTTCCATGTAGTTTTGCTCCTCCCTTGGTAATAATCAACTCATAACCCCCCTTCTTCAACTTATTAGCCCTTCCATTCAATTTCAATCCCAGAATAGTCACTTTCTCTATGATCCATTTTTGACTCACAGCAAATCCTCCATTCACAACCTCTGATCCAACCATCACTTTATTCCCCACGACACCACCGTGAAATTTCACTGAACTCCACCTCCCTCCCAACCCTCCACCCATTTCCACGTCATCTCCCTCATCCAAAAACACTTCCCCGGTACTGTTTCCACCACTGTTAACCACCACCAATATCTCAAATGGTGTTTTCCTTGCTGCATCAGTAGTCATTCCTTCTCCCTGCATCGCCAACACATTCCCTTCGTGCACATACACGTTTATATGATCAGGTGGCGCATCAAGGATGACATGCTTTCCCCGATCCACGCTTACTGAGTTCGAGTAGTTGAATAGGTCAAACCAGTTTCCAGCTGGAAAGTACGCGTCAACGGTGACTGCTCCCGACTTGAGAACAGGGGACACCATTACACCTTTACCAATGAGGTACTGTGAGTCGATGTCATAAGTTGAGATGTCTTGAGGGAATGAGAAGAAGAGGGGACGAGCGATGGGGGTTCCTTTTGTGTGTGCTTCATAACTCAACGTGTAGAAGTAAGGTAGTAGTCTGTAACGAAGTCCGAGCACCTTCCTGGCTGTTGCAGCGACTGAGTCCCAGAGATAGAGCTCTTGACGGATTGTGAACTTGTCTGAGTGGTCTCTTGCAAAGGGATAAAAGGCCCCTAGCTACATTATAAGCAGAGATTTGAGAGTAACTAGATGTTCAGTTTAAGAAATAAGAGCTAGAAGGCATTGGCTTTTGGTTGTGCACTTCGTTTTCTGTTTTCTGTTTTCGTTGTGCAGTTTAAATTTGATTGAAAATTGTTTCCGAAAGTTATTTTTGGATACATTTTCAAAAAAACAACTAACTTTTGTTTTCGGAAACATGAAAATGAAAACAAAACAAAAAACAAGAACACAACCAGACATTATGATGTTTTTTAGTTCCCATTTGGTCAAACCTAAGGCCATCTCCAACTCTCGTACTTTTACTCAAATTTGAGTAGAAGCTTGAGTAAAAAGCTTCATTTACTCAAATTTGTGTAAAGTTAATAATTGTCAAGTTTTGAGTGGATGCTAGGAGTTGGACTAAAGAAGAAAAATGAAAACTTTGGGTAAAAGCACCTACATGTCAAGTTGTGAATGGATAGAAATTTAAGCAAAGGTAATGGGTATCTCTTGATTTGAATAAATCTCAATTTGGTATTATTTTAAGTACAGAATTTTGGAAGGGATTTCAGTGGTTTTTCACTCAAATTTAATTTTGAGTCAAGATTTGAGCAAGAGTGGAGATGCATAAGGAAAGAAGTGTTCCATTTTCTTTTGGACAGCTCTAGACAAAAAATGAACCTATAGTTGTTCCAGTGTATAAAAAGAGAGAGGAAAAAGGTTGTTATCAATTCTCGTAAAATGTCTGAAACTTTTCTGAAATCCCGAAGACAGTCTTATAAATTTAGCAATGTAAAACTCCATTCCAAATACCGTAGAGCATGGTTATCAAAATTGCAATCCTTAGGATCTTAAATTGCCAAAATGATTCAAATCATTGTAAAATCAGTATTATAGCAGAAACACAAGTAGGATTGTCATAGGATTGTACGTAGGATCATAGGTAGGATTACAACTAGAATCTTTAGGCCGGTATTTTTATAGAAAGTAGAATTTCACGATCCTCAATCCGGTCCCCTTCTAGTGATCACGCATAAGATTTCAATTTTTACTACCATGTACAGTAGGTGGGATAATCTATTTTTATGTTCCATAAAAAAAAAAAAAAAGAAGAAAAAAAAAACCATGAAGTTTTACCTGAATCCATCGGCGGCAGAGTTCTTCAGTTGTATTTCCAGAAAAACCACAAATATCAGCTCCAACCATAGGAATTCCATAGAGCCCAAAGCTCAGTATGCCTGGAATTGAATATGCCAAATCCTCCCATGTGGCAGCATTGTCTCCAGTCCAATGTGCCGTGTACTTGCCAGAGCCCACAAATGTCGACCTACTGAGGATAAATGGTCGTTTACCGGTCACTCCAACCAAAGCTGCATTAGTAGCTTTAGACTCCAACAATCCATAAAGGTTATGAATATTGTACTCTGTGATGTTACCGAAGTGTATCGACGTTGCCGGAACAGTTTTCTCATTGATGGGGCGTCGGTTACCAGCATTGTTAATCTGATATGGAGGATTGTCAAGGGTGGAAAATGGGGTGGGAGAGGATGAGATGAAATTGGAGATCTCATTCATGTCGAGCCACAGGCCGTCGATGGGAAGGAGATCTCGGAAAATTTTGATTTCCTCGGCCCAGAAGATTGCTCCAGCAGGATTTACAAAATCAGGGAAGTAGACTGGCCCAGGCCAAACAACTCCCAGGTAAGGGGTACCGTCGCGTTTTATGAAGATGTTGGCTTTCATCCCTCTTATGTATGTTCCATATGTCATATTCACACTGATACCTGTACAAAGGCGACATTAGGGCAACTCCAGCATTATTAGTCAAAATAGCTATTCAAAATCCCAATTTTCTATTTCAGCTAGACACTTTTTCAATGCACACTCCACCAGAACTCTCTATTTTAGCTATCTTTTTAAATATTATTTATTTCATACTTTTTTCAAATACAACTCTATTTCTGTTCTACTGGATGTGTTTTTGTTCTGCTGGATACCTACCATTCAAATGAAACCCCCAATTTCAGTTTGTGACCTATAGATACAAATAATGAAACCCTCAGTAATGTTAGTTACTGCCAACACCACCAAAACTAGTGACAAATATTCAACCAAAAAAAAAAAACTACTGACAAACTAAAGAAACAAAACAAACCAACAAAAATCTCAGCAAATTAGTTTATGGTTTAAGAATAAAAATTTTAAGTGGCTCTAGACTACGTCACCTCAATGGATGAGGCGAGGAACTGTAGCATCAAGTGTTTTGTCTAGTTTGTTGAAGGCATTTTTGGAGTGTTTGGTTGGCTACTTTAGCTATGATGGATGTTTAGCTATCCTTTTGAAGATGCTCTTACTGTCGTCAATAAAGAGCTATAGCGTGGCGCCAGTGTAACTAGCCCAGCACATTTAACTTGAGAGCAAAGCTAGTGCAAAAATCCAGATTCAATATAATTTTAATTTTAAGGGACTTAAGAGACACGAACTAAAGATGACATGACATGAACACCACCAATATGACACGATGCTCACCTCTACTAGCAGATAAATCCACATTAGAAATAATTTCAGCAGAGAAGGAACAATCTGTGTTGGTTACATACAATACAACTCACCAGGATCCAAAATGACGACATATTTCTGACCATTCCGGTGAAGTGCATTGACGAATTTCCGCATCTCTTCCAGGGGAAAATTAGTGGGATCGAGTGTGAAATCCTTGTAGCCATCCATGTAATCAATATCAGTCCACATAACTTCTAGAGGGATTCTAGCTTTTGCATAGTTAGCAACCACATCCTCGAGATCATAAACGTCTCTATAACCATAGCGGCACTGGTGAAATCCTAAAAAGACAAAATATGAAGAATGGAGAATTCATCTCATGCTACTACTATACTAGTAATCATGTAAATAAGGAACCAATATATATGGCTCGGAAAAAAAGATAATATATGCATGATGAGAGGGCTTAAATATGCAACCAAAACACATGGAATGGATAAAGAAAAAAGGTAAATTAAGTCTTGCTTCGTAATAGTAATCAATCAGACAATGAGACAAAATTTACATTGTCTATTGTGGAGAGGTTCTAAAGAGTGGTGATTGGCCTGCAAAATGTGGAGGGTCTCTCTCCTTCACACCTTTTTGCATGAAGTGTTACATTACAGGCTTCTAAGGGAATCATTGAACTTTTTACTCATCGTTTAAAATACTAGTAGTGTTGGCTTGCAAAATGCAAAGGTCTCCTTCATAGCCTCTTATCTGCAATAGTTTTATTGCGGTAATTCAACCACTTATGTTTAAAGTCGAAGAAAAATTATGTCGTTTCAAGGTATGTGGTTTTAATGTCAAATGAATTTTTTTCTCAAGTTTTGAAGTAAAAATTTTAGTCTTGGAGATGGCCTAAAAAAGAAGATAGAAAAAGAAAAAGAAAAAGAAAAAGAAAAAGAGAAAGAAATAAATAATACGACTACAAACAAGGAATTAGAATTGTAGGTACCGTACCGAAGGACCAGTATGGCATAGGGGCAGGGCGGCCAATGAGGAGGGTGTATTGTTGGATGACCATCTCAGGGGTGGGTCCGGCGAAGAAATACAAGTCAAGAATGCCACCAATGACCTTATAAGTGATCCTATCACCACCTTCATTGTACACAATGTCCATGCCATTGCTGTTGAGCAACAACACACCGTGTGTGGTCCCCGCGGGGGACCTGACCTCCATGTACAAGGGGTGGGAACCATACAGATTGAGGTCGAGATTGGCGCTGGGTATGTCGGCGTTCCACAGGGTCAGAGTCTGGTTGCGAAGGAGCTTGAAGGACTTCTTGGTGTGCTCTCCGAGGCCGTAGAGGGAGGAGCGGTGGGAAGGGAGAGAAGATGAGAGCTGCAGGTACTGATCCTTGAAGATGAGAAATGTGCCGGAATCGGAGGCATCCGGCGAGGTGTCGAAGAGGATGTCGCCGGAGGAGAGGCGGGAGACGGTGAATCCGAAGGGAGTGGTGTTGTGGAGAGTGAAAATGAGCTCTGAGCTGGGCTGCCAGATGCAATGCTGCTGGTATTCTGTCTGGGAGGAGAAGCACTGATCGGAGCTGCTGCTGCTGCGGGGGAGGATTTGCTGGGGGATCTCCCATCTCTGCTGCTTTGCGTCTGTAATTCGAATCCTCAGACGATCGTTTGTCTCCAAGCTGCACACATGAATTTTCCGTGATTTTTTTTTTAGTTTTTAGTTTTTTGTTTCTTGTTTAATTTTGTTACTATTTTTTTTTTTTTTTTTTAAATAATGAGAAACTAGGTGAAAAATTCCTTTTCAACTTTACGTAGCAGGGAGATTCAATATATATATTTTTTATTACTGTAGTTAAAATCCTTCAATAATTTTGTTAGAAAAAATTCAGTTCTGTGACGAATTGAATTTTTTTTATCAATAGTTAAAAATTTCCCCATGAAAATATTAAGAGATCTATTACATATTCTTTATTTTTTAACATCCTGATATTAGGGCCTCAAAACTAAATACTTCAAATTTTAATACATCTAATTCAAGGTCACTTAAATTTTTTTTTTTTGAATATAATTCACTAAATATTTATATATATTTTTACATTTAATATTTTTTTAACATTTTTGACAAATATTTTATTAAAATTATTAAGGGTTAATTTTTGATAAATTCTCTTTCTAAGTATTTTATTCCATCTAATTCATATTCTTTTTGACTATTCTATTAAGTCTTATTTAATGTAATATGACCAAATCATCATTTCTAATTTTCTAAACATGTTTTTATTTTGAAACTATACATAACAATAGTCCATCATTTTATAGAGAAAATCTCTTCCTCATTTTAAAGAGAAAATCTTTCATTTATTCTATGGAGAAAATTTATTCCTTATTCTAAGGAGAAAATCTCTCTCGCATTCCATAGAGAAAATCTCAAATTATGAATTTTGAATCTTTTTATAATTTGAAAATTTTAAAAATAACATAACAACTAATCTAAATGAAAATCAAAATACAATGTGAATGTTCATAGTGAACAATAAACATACAATTAACTTTTGAAAAAGCAAAACACATATTAAAGTACAATGTGAATGTTCACAACAAATAACAAATACACAACTAACCATCGCAAAAAAAAAATCCATACTAAAATACAAAATGAATGTTCACAATTTATAATTAACATACAACTAACTTTTAAAAAAATAACTCATACCAATGTAAACATTTACACTGTAACGTGAAAATATAAAATAAAATTGAAAAAAAAATGAATATCGACTATTTTAATTATTTAATGATAATAAAAATGATTGTTCAACTGACAAGTATGGTAACAAAAATAACAAATATACAATTAATTTTTGAAAAAATAAAACTTATACCATAACACAATGTGAATGTTCACAATTTACAATTACTATACAACTAGTTTTTTTTTTTTAAAAATAAACTCATACCAATGTGAACATCCACATTGCAACGTGAAAATATAAAATAAAATTGAAAAAAAGTGAAAATCAACTATTTCGATTGTTCAATAATAACAAAAATGATTGTTCAATCAACAAGTATAGTAAGAAAATAACAAAATACAACTAACTTTCAAAAAAACTCATACCAAAATATAATGTGAATGTTCACAATTTATAATTAACTTCACATCGCAACATGAAATAAAATTGAAAAAAAAAGAAAAAAGAAGACCACTTCAATTGTTTAATAACAACAAAAAATAATTGTTCAAACAACAAATATAGTAACAAATAACTAATAATATGTGAACATTCACATCTTGTAAAATATATAATTATGTCCATATTTATATTTCAATATTTATTTCTCAAACTTTCAAACAATGTGAAATGTGAATATTCATATTGATTGACAAAAAAATAAAAATAATAGCAGCAATAGAATTGGAAATCCAAAAAAAACTTAATCACTTTAAAAAAAATAAAAATATTACTCACATCACATCCACATTCTCATCTTCATCATTATCTTTATCATTATCACTATCATTAACAATCTATGAAATTTCATCATTTCACCAATCTAAATCAAACCAAACCTACATTTGAAGAATATGTTTGTAACAAAATTGACTGGACATAAACAAAGTTTCGACTTACAATAATGGAGAAATATAAAGTTTCAAACACAAAGTAACAATGGACGAACACAGAATTTCGAACACGAAGTGACAATAGAGGAACACAAAATTTCACCACAATAATGGATGAGCATAATATTATTTCACCACCATGTGTAAACTAGAGTTTCTAAATCCTATCAAATAGAGAGTTTTGAAACTCTAACACAATGAAACAATATCACAAATGTGAATGAAACTGATCAAAAAGAAAAACGTGAATAATGGTAACTACCAAAATAAAGATAGCAACAAAAAGAAAATGTGTATATCATTTTTCTATATAATACATATCAACAATAGATATAAGGGTATAATAGTCCAACAAACAATATAAATCATGAAAAAAGGATCTCATGGAATAAAAGTATAAATATATGAGACTAATTGAGTTATAATTTTTCTTAGTAGATTTATTGAGTTAGAATACTTTAAATGAAATTTATCAATAAAAAAAATCTAATCTATATCTATACTTACTATATATTAAGCAAAAGGGGGTTTTTAATCCCAAGTCTTGTGGAAACTCCAATCTCTCAATCTAAATTTTCTGATTTTTTGATTTAAAAAAAAAAAAACTTAGCATTTATTAACTTCTCCCAACTCCCAAGTCTTACCATCATAATAACACTTTAATGCATTAAGAACAAGCATAATTTTTTTTTTGAAATTTAACACATATGAATTCCTTGAAAAGTCCCAACACATATGATTATTATCCCTCATAATAACACTTTAATGCATTGAGAACAAGCATAAAAAAAATTTCTTGATAAGTCCAACAAATATGATTATTATCAAAATATTAAACTTTAATATAATATAATAAAAAAAAAGTGAAAAGTCCAACACATATGATTATTATCAAAATATTAAACTTTAATATAATATAAAAAAGGAAAAAAAGAAGACATTTAAAAAAAAAATATTTAAAAATCACAATTCACATATATAAATAATTGTAAACACAATCCGTGCATAGCACGGATGATATGCTAGTATTATATAAGGAAAATGGAGTTTTTAACCCACAAGCCTTATGGGAGCTCCATTATCTCAATCTTAATTTTCTAATTTTTTAATTTAAAAAAAAAACTTAGCACTTATTGACTTCTCCTAAGCCTTTTTGAATTCTCTCATACACACCATTTTCAACTTCTCCCATACCTATTTTATTATTTTAGAAATAATAATTATCCCTTAATTTATAGATTTCAAATGGAAAAATAATAAAAATACTTTATAATCTCTCCATCCTAATCTCTCTCATTAATTTTTAAAAGAAAATATTAAAACTTACATTCCTTCTCTCCCTAAAAAAATCAGATAACATTTTTTATAAAAATTATAAATATCTATCTACATTTTATATATTATATTGCTAGCTTAAATTGGGTGAAAAAAAAAAAAAAAAACATTGAGTTAGACAAGCCTGAGCATTGGTTTGGCCGCGAGCCTTCCAGCCAATTCATTACCCGTAAGCTGCAAATTGGTAGCTTAATGGTTGTTTGTAATATAGTACAAAATATTATATAAAGAAAATGAGATTTTTAATCCATAAATCTTGTAGTAGTTCTAATATTTTATTCTTAATTTTTTAATTTAAAAAAAATAACCTCAACATTTATTGACTTCTTTCAACTCACAAGTCTTTTTGATTTTTCTCATAGTTACTGCAACATCATTTTCAACTTCTCTCATACACTATGATTAGTGATGGAATTGTTAAATTATTTTTTTTATAAAAAATCTAAAAAAATAATTTGTATATTAAAAAAATATTTAAAACAAATATAAATATCTATATCTGATGATACAGTTATGATACAAGGGGTTCCTGGTAGAACGGGTCGGACTAATCCACGCTTCTCGAGCCAATATCCGAGTGGTCAAGCCCACCTGAGAACCTGCACAAGAGTTCAAAGGGGAACGGGGTGTCCCCCAGTGAACCCTCCGACAAGCAAGTTAGAGAGAGGGAGAAGTGGAATGTAGAGATGTGAATTAGAAATAGAAAGCTTAACCTTCTTCTTGTCTTCAACGTCTGCTTATATCCTTTGGTTATCATTTCGTTGTCCCTTCCGATCTGTCACCTTGGCCAAAAGTCTATGCTGTAGCTTACCTTGTTCAGGGTGAGGGCGTGTTGTTCCGACAGAGAGGTATTGTCGTAATAAATGCTGTGAGGGACTGTATTAATGGCGATGTGCAGTGGCAATAACTTTGTAGATCTTTGTCTGCTGATGTGGCTTGCCCTTTGCCTGCCACGTGCCTGGGTATTATTGGTCCTTCGTGTCATGTTGGTTTCCAATTGTTCTGGACCTCATCAATTGGGTTGTGTATTGGCCTCTAAGTGATAGGCTTGGGTTATTCGTAGTGGGCTATGGCCTTTATGGGGCTAACCACGTCAGTAGTCCCCCATTCCCGAGTGCAGCTTTAGTCCAACGAAGGGAATACTAATGAAGAAGATGAGGGTTGTTAGAGATCGGCAGGATGGAGGTCGACCGGTAGGGATGACCAAGGGGATGGATCGATCGTGAGGAGGGGCGACCGTGGAGTGGCCGAGTGGAGGGGTCGATCATGAAGAGGGCCGACCGTGAAGGATGGCCGAGTGGAGGGGTCGACCATGAGGAGGGCCGACCGTAAAGGGTGGCCGACTGTGGGGGGGCGTGGGGCTCAAGAAGCGGCGTGTCATGTGGTGACTTGAAGTGGAAAAGACAGGGTAAGGGGAGGGGGCAGTGAATCGTGGTCGAACACGTGGCAGCATCTCGCGGTGGGGGAGGTTAAGCGTTGGGCCAAAAATGAAACGATAGGTCATAATGGGTGTTGAAAAGACAGTTTGGGCAGATGTTTGAAAAGTTGCAAACTGGCGAGAATTAGTTGTGATCCTTGGAATACGGGCAAGCCTTGGGCCTTTGGTGTTATTCGTTTTACCTACCTTTTTGCAAAAAATTAAAACATTCCAAGTGTAAACTCCTTCATTGCCAACGATACACCCCTGCAGCACTTTCTGAACTTTCTTGCGCCTGCATC